TATATATATATTCAAGAAAAAATTTTCATTTATAAATAGTCAATGAAAAAACACACCTATTGAGTAGATGAAAGAACTGAGATTTATAAGTACAGTGAATGTCTATGATACTAACCACACCATTGTTAACATGTAGACAATTTCTCTTTGTAAACGTGTATTGATGTTGTTATGAAACGAGAACAAAACAACTGCTTCAATTGAGCTTTGAGATGAGGATCAATTTGAAGCATTCGATTGATGAATGTAACGAGAGAAAAACGAGAATATCTCATTGACAATTTCAACACACTACATTTCTTCAAGAGCACAGGCAGCACTTAGTAGAGAATGCTTCGCATCCAACCCATCCGAAACCGTTTCAATCTTTGTGGCATTATATATGACCTATATATGCTCAATGAACTTTTCTGCTTGCTGCTTCAGCACACAAATAGAACGGAGCTGATCCTATCATAATTACAGACCGAGCAGCGTTTCAAAAAGCATATCAGATAATTGAAAGGTTTCAGTGAAAATTGACGAGTGATGCTGAATAACAGCGAGCGATGATAAAAGAGACTAATGAATTGTCTAGAACCGCTAATTGAACAGTTTCGAAGATTTACACATGAAGGTATATGGTAAACCCCTGAGCAATATTTGCGTATTTTTATTAGTGATTAAAGAAATAACGTATTACATTCTGCAAAACAAATACCGGAAATTGTTTATTTTCTTGCAAAGTTTTAATGCAATTTTCAATGTTTGTCTCGTCCACCTTAGGGTGGATCTCCAGCTACGTTGTACATATGGTTACGTCTATTTTCAGGAATAGTAATAGGATGTCTCTTTAGGTACTACCTTGACCTTAGCCTGTGATCTTGTTACAACCACATCTTTTCTCACAAAACACCTGCATTGAGTGCAACTTTGAGTTTGAAAAATGGAGGAAATTTATTTGAATCATATTCAGTGGACAAAGTGTCACTACAACGCTTCAATGTTCATTGAGAAACTCCTAAAAAAGTCAAACTACATATGTGAGCTCATGCAACGCGTGGTGCGAAATGCACATTCTTAGTTTGGGTCATTTTCTCGACACTTTTCGAGAAATATGCATGAATATTCAAGATAGCATTCTTCTTTGTGCATAAAGCTTGACGATGAGGGTGAATTCGTGCGTATTTGAAGAAATCCGTCACAAAATATGATATTTGGCTATACATAGCTGCATCTAGCCGAGTGTTGTTAATCCCCAGGAATATTTTCCTAAAGGTGGTACAGCACTGTCACCATGAACATTTTCATAACATTGCTTACATTTCACTGCATTTGATTTTGTTCTAAATGCATTATTTCAGACAAACTCTACGATCCAAAAATCAGATTTACAAAAATATTGTCGAAAGCAATGAGTTATGTCATCTCTATTCCTTTACCAAACACCAACCAATCATTGCGTTCGGCCGCAAGTTGGTCACTACTTTTCTAACTCCACTGAAATACTAAAACAGAAATTTTAGCTCATCAGACAAGAGGCAATACTAGTTGCGTAAAAGTTCCTATTCAGCTGACAGAACGTAATTTGTATAGAATTTGCAAGAATATAATATATAGGACTGGATGAAGTGAGCATTGAGAGCAGCTTTTACCATAAAACCTTTGCGGCCTTTGAAAAACCTTCAAGCCAAGTGCTTTTTTTATCATTAAAGCTTTTTTGCCCATTTTTCATCAACCTAAGATGTTTCCATATTCTTCCAATCATTCCAAATGAACTGAATCTAATTTTCGTTGAAACACAATCTTACGTGCAGTGAAAAATGGTATAAATTGGCACGCCAAACATTTGCAGAGACAACAACAATATCAGATAACAGAAATTGTCCCGTCGATAAATCTGAGAGTTCCCTAATCGTATCCTTACCGGATCAACTGTCAACTATCATTTCATCAGCGAAATCGAATAAAATTTGATCGGACTATTAAAAATTGCTACAGACGTGATATGACTCATCAAAAAATATGCACTAGTTTCTGCGATATATCATATTTCGAAATTCAAATTACCGAAACGACGAGACATCCTTCAGAATCCCAACATTCATGCAGCAAACGACCAACACAAATATACAGATGATCACTCATCTATGTTTCTAGGGAACTCAAAATATAGTATACATGATTTTAGGGTAAATTTATGAAGGATGAACAGAAAACAAAAATGACATCGCTGATGAGAAATGTTCTGAAAATGAAAGCAAAATAAACGTGATTGGAAATGACATAAAATGTGCTAATCAATTAGGAATTTTGATCAAGTAATCGTTGTAAATGAAAACATCCTCGGAGAGATTGGAAATGATTAGGAAAGGAATGAAAGGGATTACGCATAAACGAATGATGTAATTAAACGGAAAGAAGAGGAACGAAGTAGATGAAACAATAGCGGAAGGGATGGATTGATGAGCTCAATTGTGTCGGTTGAGATTTTGCTAGTGAGCTTATCGCTTGTGATGAGGATGTTATCAACTTCAACTTAACTAAATAGTCGACGGACCCATCTCGTTCTGACTGCTGATGTGGTGTGATGTAATCTGATATGTGTGATTTGAAAAGAGATTGTGTGTGATGCGAATATGTGTGATGTGATATGACTTGTGTTATTAACCTTTTTCACACCTGTCCTTCTCCTTTCATTATCACATCACTGCAACATCGCTTATCAAGCCACATCCTCATCTTACGCTTCAGTCAAACAAGCACTCCCGAATGATTTATCGTCAGTGTACAATCAAAATTTTCTCCATCGTTCGTCCGATTCATGCACTCTATTGTGCTTGCCCACGGACACAACAACCATGTTCTTACATGCTCCAAGCACTGTCTAATCCTTATCATTTTTAATATTAGGGATTCTCAGGTTTCTGTGTTCCGTCTCCGCTAACACTTTCTGTAACATTTGATCTATGCAAAAACCACCTCCCCATTCCTCTGACACCCCATCTTAATGATAAATCAGAAGAAAATCAGGGAACTGGAGAAGAAAAACAAAACCATTATCGGGAACTCTGCTACCAAGAATCCACCGGTTGCATCAAAGGAATCATTGCCTTATGATCGATCAAGCATTCAGTTCCTTATGATCATTATGGGATGATTACGAAAACAAATCAATTAACAATGACTTACAAGCCTCCTCAATTCCTAGCCCACCCTCATCCTTCTTCACACTCTCTATTCACCTCGAAGGGAATTTTCCTCACCTCCCACCTCGCTCATGAGCACTGTCCTTCTATACTATGATCTTCGGAAAGTAGCAACCGTCAGTGGTGAGCTATTAATTAGTCACACAAGATCTATAAAAAATTTCTCCTGAATATGATAAACCAAACTAACGATACAGATTCTTGTTCTGCAAACCTCAAAATAATTCCACGTTTGACTACAAATACTGCAGCGTTTCAATTATACACTCACGGTTTCGAAATAGCCCAACAACATGCCTACTTGTTGCGCACTTCGATATTTTCAAGGTGCGTCATCATTTTCTCTTTGCTCCGAATATATTTTATTGCGTTTCAAAATAATGTTATTGAATAATACGATAAGAAAATCGTTGTGGACTATGACCAATATAATGAAATGTACGTTTCATAAATTTCAAATTTGACTGCTGATTGTTTGACGGAAAAATAATGGAATTAAGGTAGCGGAGTTTTGATTTCATCCAGTGGCTTTTTAGGTGCATCATTAAGCGGCGGAATCTGCATTGCTGGATTGTAGAAACTGTTGCAGTTCTCCCTGAAATTGTCAATTTTGCTTTCAACTTGGAATGAACGATGAAATTCGACGGTAATCATATAGTCGCCAAACAAAGTTCACTCACTTTTGTTTCACGGAGAATAAATCATATAGACGTGCAGCCACAAGACTGGTAATGATTTCACCAGCGTTTTGTGCCATCAAGCGTAGCACTAACATACCGTCACCTCCCAACTGATGCGCAAGCATCTCAACACGATGATGCATTACTTTCACAGATGGATGCTGCAAAAATATGCTCTTATTCCAAATTGCCATTCTACAATCAATTGTATATGTAAAATGCTAGCGCACTAATGCTGGCGTCGCTCGGCAGATGAACTGTACCAGATGGCTGTCCCATGATTCTATCTCCATAGGCAACAGAAGTTTGTGCATTTGAAAGATATGAAAAGTTACACCAAGAGTGATGAGTCCTTCGAGGAAGTTGCACTTTGATGAGCCACAATTCATTACGTATATCCAGTAAATGAAGTTGACGCACGTTGTCGTCAGTAGAATCAAAATCCACCACCACAGACCGAGGAAGATCTTCTCATTGAACATATTCGCCATCAGTACACACTGAATGGTAAAATGATGTCGATGCCCAATGTCTCGCACCTGAAATTTCACATTGCAATTCATTTCCATCCCGCTGAATGACTCTTTTCATCGGATGTGTTGCTATCAGATAAAACTTGCGACACCATGACTGCATCGCATTTTTGACACTACTTGATACTGCTGAGAAGACAAAAACTTATTTGTTATAAATAAACTATGTTGTTTCTGATTCAGTAAAATAATATATCATGAAATTCACCTTGAAATCGCACATGGTAACACGAGGGAAGAGTCCGGTGACTTCCCACGAGCGTTGTTGTAATAGAGCTTTTGTTATCTCATAACCACTCGATCCAAGATACGCGGATAAAATCACATGCTTAATTATTTATTGAATTAACTTCGTTTTATATTGCGGCTGTTTATAATCAACAATGATTACAAAGGACCTGTCGATTCGAGTCTTTGGAGAATTGCGTTTGATTTTACACACAAAAAAGTGATTTTAATATGTACGATAATTTGTTTAAAATTGATAGAATATGATTTAAAAAAATAACCTGCAGAAATGCATTAGCAATGAAAAGCAGTTTCGTTAATACATAGACCGAACTCAAATAGGAAACCGATACAACTCTACAATTTTATAATTTTGGCACATTTCAATTCAAAATGTATTTTTGCTCACGTAAGCTCAGTTGCAAAATCTCAACGAATACAATGACCGGTTGATGAACCAAACAAATAAATTCGTCAGGAAGTAAGACAATCAGAAAATCTGAATGTCACTAAGCGAGTTTGATTTATGTTGAGGGCAGCTCTGTCACACAATTAGAAAGCGAACGCTGTTCTCAAAAGAAGAGCGTTCATGAGAGAATGAAACCTTAAGCATTGAAACCTGAATAGGAATACGAGCGGATTGCTGTGTGCCAAGTGATGATGAAAATTGTTCTCGTGAAGTGAACGTTCTAGGTGAGCAGCTACAACATCAACCATCTTACTAACCTCATTCGTGGCCGGGTTTTTCTTCGATGCACTGCTGGCCATCGTAATCACAGCACGTGTTTGTATACCTCAAAATCGCTCTTATTACTAAAATGAGCATTCTGTAAATAATCCTACGAATAACAAACTTTTTTGATCGCATGACGATACAAAATGGATCTGCTAATTTTTTATTCTGACATATACGCATGGGTTGGAATGTTATGCAAATTTCTTCCAAATAGTTGTAAGCTCTCAAATAGTGCTAACGCTAAAATATGATCAGCCCTGTGACGAGCTGAATTAGTTTGAAATGTTGAAATAAAGTTTTGCTAGTAGTGAATGTAACGATCAGAAGGAACTATAAACGCACTGATATCTCGACGCTAGAGAACTAATGACAACCTGACATCCAGTTGAGCATGCGCCAAAACACGTGTGGTCCGGTAAACATGAGTGCTTGCATCATCAGCATAAAAGGTACCCACTGCAAACACCACTAGTGTTAGAAAATCAAGTAGATGAAATGTGCTGTAAAAAGGAAATTCATACTGAACATCAAAACGGAAATGATCACACATGATTCACGGCTCTATTGACTCATGCAATACTTATTCATTGCTGATTATAATTGCAAATGATTAATATCTCTGAGGTTTATCGTCTTAATATGCGAGCGATGAATAGCTGAACTGTCAACAGTGTCTCTTGAAAAATAACCTGGTAATAAGTGAGCTCTCTTTCACTTCGATGTCTACTACTTTGTGGAATTTTCTGATCGAGTGGAATATAGTAAGTATTCTCGACGAAACAGTAGTTTTCGGCATACTGTTCCCATCCTTTCTGTGAAGCTAATTCTGCTGGCAGCCAACACTGGATGGGCTTTCCACCGTATTCCTGAAGCGATGTTGAAATGATAGCTGAAAGGAGATGTTGAAGTACGAATAAAATGACACCAAAACCATTTATACCTTAGCAATGATGGTGAAAGCAGCTGCAAGTAGTATGTAGGTGGTTACTCGATAATTCAGACGGTCTACGAAATCTTCCTCATATCTTGGTTTTGTAATCGATTCGATCAACTTGCCGAGACGGTCCATCGATTAATTCGCTATGTATTTCTTAAATCTCAGTACGTTCTTGTAAGCGATATTGAATGGAAGCACTGCTCACATGACACTGTCTTCATTCGTGCAATTCAATACTGAAGCTGCGTGAAATTCTCGAAAATCCGAGTAGAACGGAACGGTGCGAAAAAATTTGGCATATCTTGAAATGAAAGAAAATAAGGCTACCAAGAGAAAATGGTTGACAAGGGTTGTATTTGAGTCAGCCAATGAATGTACGATTGTCATGCATCATGCAACACCGAGCAACTCATAGTGATAAAATGGATACCCAATGACGGAAATGAAGCGGTATGCGGTATGGTATCTACTGGAAATGTGTCTGTGGACGAGTGATTGAAATGGTAAGACGTGTCAAATGCAGCAAAATTCAGTAGAAAGCAGCTGCCGAATCAGAAGCATAATCGAAGAAATGTTGTGGATTTCAGCTATACTAGGAGCAGCAGCAGACCGACGATAGGTGTGTCTAATAGCAGACGATTTGTTTTAGCGATAAAACATCAAAAGAAAAGAATGCATGTGTACGTGAATTACGTGCAATCGCTACAACGATCTGATCGAGATGAAGATATGATATGAAATGAGATAAATGAATCACTGAAAAACATTTTGACGATCACATGAGATGAAAGTGGCTGTTGAATGGTGGACCGTGAATGCTTGATGTATGCTTTCTGATGACGATTCTATTTGGCTGTTTAATTTTAAATCTTCTTTATTTTGGTTATTTTAACGTATTCAGCATAGCCATGTTAGTCCTTAACCAAGTGCACTAATCATATAAGGTTGTGCCATTGCATACACTGTGTGTTCGTTCAGTAATTTAAACATGTTTAATGCGCCTCGTTACACAGTCATATGATTCTGCAACACAACGCATTGCTTTCGTAAAATGAATGAACAAACGTCATCTTCTCTATTCCAACAACATTGCATATTATTGCTTGAAACAACCTTTTGACGGTAGGATTCTTTGTTTCGGTTTGTCTCAATTTGCGTCGTCAATCGACTAAAACTTTATCGTTTAGCGCCTGATCCTCCTAACCTCAAGATTTTAGTCCAAATATATGCCATGTAAGCAGTTCTTTTTTTCTCCTGATCTAAAGCAATGTTTCTTTGATGTCAACTTTGTTTTAAATTAATGATACCTCCATCGAACAATTTCATTTGAATATACGTATCAGAACTATGATTGCATCATCATTAAGTGGCTTCAGTAGAAATATTGAAAAAATTTACAACATAAGCATCATACGAATAAAATAAACATCATGTCATTATGCGTTCCAAAGATTGATATCATAATTCAGTCATCTGGGCACTGCTCCTTATTCCAAAAACAGAGTATCATAGATCACTCATACGAGAGCTTCGCTCGGAATTCACTTCATTATTGGCAACAAGCTGATGCGAAATTTATTCTCACGAGCCCAATGTCTGTACCAGAAATTTGGTCTTTCTTGATCACTAGCGCAAATATTTATGAACAATATATGCAGCTGAAAGATGCTTCGGTACGTTAGATCAGGAAATGATGCGCCAGAAGCTGACGATTCGATATAGAATATTCGTTTGAAAATGCATTTCATTTCGATTAAGAATACATTCTTACTGTTGCTTTTAAAACTACGAAACACTTGCGTAAGACTGGAAGAATATGCTATGCAATATCCCCTTTGTTTTTTGTTTACCAGTTGTTGATCGTTGCAATTGTTTCAATGTTCAGCAGAAAGTTAATATTCAAATGATGTGTTCGTTAGCTCTATGAGATGTTTAATGAAAAGCGATATCAGCATTCTTCCATCTCACTTACAGACAATCAACTGCGATCTCAGCTCAGTTTTTATTGTTTGGTTCAATGGCAAATTTCTCGATGGGTCCTCGAATGTGTCATCGTTATTATTATTATTGTTAATGTACAACTAAAAATAAATGCAATCATTTAAAGTCAATTAGCTCAAAATTATAAGTGTCGCTAATTTGCTTCATTTTTATTATTTTTTCATTATTTTGTCATTTCCTTATACTGTTTCCGATTGCAAAGCCTTGAATTTTTTTCTGCAGCGACTTCGTTCTGAAAAAGTCGTGAAAAATGGAATTTTGCAGCATGATTCATTTCAATAGTTCTAATTTGACGATAGCACAAATAAACAACTGCTTGATTAAGTGGGTTTACGTTGGCGTTATGGAAGAGACAGAATGTTGATAGCATTGAAGAATTTTGTTATCAGCTCGGTGCTTCGTTATCAGTTGATCGACATTTCCTCAACAGCTTGAAATGATTGAATAATACAGTCGACTGCTTCATTTGTTGCACATTACTCTATTAACTGACTTTGGAGTCGTTACGTTTTAGTTCAGTGTTTGATGAATTTATTTTACGATTTTCATGCCTTATATTAATTAATTCAATGTTCTTATTTGAAATTCAGCTACACATTTTGCAACGTGCATTTATGGAGACAACAAGTTCTGTGCAGTTTACACTTCGCTTATTGTTTGTTACAGCGATCATCATCAGCTTTTTGAAATTTCCTTATCCGGATCACTTTGTTTACTGATAGCTGAGATCCATTCGAATTCACTTGAATTAACATGTGATTGCAGTTGCCCTCTGATTTGACTCGTTTAGAACCATATTCACAGAACTATTGAAAGTGAATGTTGATTGGTTGCTGAACGTAAACATCTGTGAGTTGAGGTCGCTATTGGATATGTAGTTTTAGCATGGTTCAACCGGGCTCCACCTACTGCACTCAAAGCAGCGATTACTATAAATATTTTTTTCATTCGTGATTGTCCTCATCACGCAAATTAAAATTTATTCTTTAATGAGGGATTTACTAGATTTCAGGAGCTCTTGAAAGATCAAAGGTACCACAGCAGCACTGATCCTAAAATATAGCAAAAATGTTGGGACTGTTACCAGGTTATTTAAGCAAGCTTCATGCGAACCACGATGAGGACTCAGTGGATCGTATCAACTACATTTATAGCAATATCCTCTTGCTGGCGTTCGCACTGCTTCTGACAGCTAAGAGCTATATTGGTAAACCGTTGCAGTGCTGGGTACCTGCACAGTTCAAGGTCTCATCCTTATCAAATGTTCTTAGCGACTAAATAATTCACTATTGTATATATAAGCCTTTACTCACATATGAAAGAAAACAAACCTGCAGCTGTAATCACAACGAG